CTGCATAACACAAGTTCTTCATGAGTCTTCCTCTAATCCTGATGCCACATTCCTCCTCATTGAGTCCAGCCTTCTGGATAATCCATTCTGCTTATAGATTGAAAAGGTATGGAGATAAGATGCATGCCTAGCATACAGCTTTCCTGGTTTTGAACCATGCATTATTTCCTAGCTCTGTTCTGATGACTGCATCCTAATTCAAGTATTAGTTTCACATAAGCACAATAAATCTGGAAACATCTTGAAATACAAAATCACCTACATAGGCTCCAATACAGAACAAAAATTTTAATACCAGTTTAGTAGTTTTAGAAATGAAACTAGCCAAGATTTATATTAGTTCAATACACAAGACCAGTAATTGCAGAATTATAATCCATCAGTAAGGAAAGTTCTAAAACACTGGGAAGAAGAGGGCTCATTTTGGGAGGACCTGGGCTGAAGGGAGTAAACCCTTACCTCAGGTCTCTAAGTATCAGGGATCCAGCCCCGATATGTCGGGAGAATTCCACCAAAAGGAGGCATCAGGTTTAAATGAAGACGCGGAGAGACTACCCGTTGATGACGAATAGCCACCTTTATTATTCTGGCAAGGGTATATATATACACTTCTTAGGAACATGCCTGCAGGGGTAATCATATTATCTCTTATCTGTCCAGAGATGTTGACTGGTAAATCAAACATTCCCAGACCTTCACACAAAACAAGGACATCTTCTGCACAATATGTTTTGACAAACAAAAAGTTACCACATTCATAGAATTCTGAGGCCTTTGGTCACTCCCTATTCATTAGCATACTGCTTCCTGGAGTTGTTTACTGTAGAAAGGATGGTCAAGCCAAGATGAGTGGTCCTGCTGTTTTTACTATGCATTGCTGGTCCTGCTTTGCAGGTTAGCCAGGTCCTGACATCTAAGTCTGCTAGCTTACATTCTGGTAGGTGGTACCGAAGGTAGCATGTTGCCTGCCCCATGTGTAAATAATGATACACATCTCACCTCCCATATATGGTGAAAAAAAAATAAAAATGTGTGCTCCCCTTCTGAGTAGAAAAAAATTGAAAACAGGGGTTCTCCCTTTAATTAAAAAGAAACTATTAAACAAAGCTTTTGTCAATAAATGCTTTATTTATTCAGGTACTCGGTCCTTTATGCTGGAAAGGAAAATTTAAAAAAATAAACAATATTTACTTCTCATGGAGCCAAACAAAAATCATATTTAATTACTTGAAACACAGGTTTCAAATATGATAAAATTTGACCATGTTCTATTCTCCACCACAAAAGGCAACTCCTTATTTTTTCCGAATTTTGTTTTTTTTTAATATAATTTTTATTTATTTATTTGTTTTATGTGTGTACGGTCAAATTGGATCTGACTGGTACAGGAGGCGATTGTTCCTCCTTCTTCAGAAGAACATCTGGTGGATTTGAACCGCGCACCTCTGGGATTGCAGTGCAGTTTCCTGCCACTAGGCCACCAGAGCTTGCCATCAATTTTCAATACAAAGAATCTTACCAAATTGTTTTACCAATGGGAGTCTATCTAGCCTAAATAAGAACATCTTGGAGGGTCCAGTCCATGGAGAAAGATACCATGCTTGAAGGACGGAGGGACAGTGCAAGAAAGGAACACTCTGAAGGAGATGGATTGACTCAGTAACTGGGGTAATGAGGTAGGTGTGTCAGAGACAGCAAGATCAGCTCAGGATCAGACAGGGGTCAGAGCCACTGTGCACAGTGTCGCTAAGTCACAATCAACTTGATGGCACATAATAGATTCCTGAAAGGGAGCTCTGGTGGCCTAGTGGTAAGGAGCTGCACTGCCCACCCAAAGGTACACAATCCAAATTCACCAGGTGCTTCGTGGGAGAAGACGGACAGTCTCCTCTCATACAGCTTATAGCCTGTGAAAACTCACTGGAGGGTTGTCTGAACTGGTTCCAACTAGACAGCATTGTGAGATTCCTGTAAGCATCAAGGTTTGTGAAATGTGTTTTATATTAAAGTGGTGTCATAACACATTGTGTTAATCCTTTTAGATGTGAATGAACTGAAATTGCACTTGCTGTATTCTCCTTTCTGGACTTAAGAAGAATAAATTGTTCAATGAATAAGGAAAAAAGTCAGTAAAACTACGTCTCTGTTATACTTCTTACCAGAAGCAGAACCAATTAAGTAGTTTTGAGTTTGCATACATAAAGGTGCTTTTATAGTACCTTGGTCCTTTAAATTCCCGAGGATGATCATAAAGAATCCACACCCAGGTGATCTCTGGTGGCCTAGTGGCAAGAAGCTGCAACTGCAAGCTCAGAGGTGCACAGTTCAAACCCACCAGATGCTCTGCTGGAGAAGGAGGAACAATCTCCTCCTGTACCAGTCAGATCTGATTTCATGGTACACACACACAAAAAGAATGAAATGAAAATAAAAAGAATCCACACCCAGCAGATTTGTTGGGGTACTGCTACCCCTATTTTAGATATCTGTGGATCCTATGTCTAACTTTGCTTTAATTCATCATCACCAACTACCATTCACTGAGGCCTGTTACATCTCAAGCACTGAGCTAGATGCTTTGCAAGCATTTCTTAAGCTTTAAGCAGTACCGCAAAAGAGCTATTATTTCTGTTTTCCTGGTGAGGAGGCTGAGGTTTGGTTAAGTGACCTGCCAGTGATCATATGACTGATTCTGCACCACGCAGTAGCCGCCACCTGACAAATGAATGCCATCAACAGTGACCTCCCAGACATTAAGTGACTTAACTAGCTCCTGGTTGTCTGTGGTGATGGATGTTGTAAAAACTGCTGCTGCTGCTGCTGTCAGGTGCCATCTAGTTTACTCCAACTCACAGACCCTCTGTACAGCAGGTGGAAACCATGCCCAAACCTGCTCTATCCTCACCATCTCCACTGTGCAAACACTGTTTCAGTCCATCTCATTGTCTTCTTCTGGTCCTCATTATTAAAGTTTCAGACAATTTGGGCAACGCATCATAGCATATGACAGATCTGAACCCTGTCCTATCCTGCACCATCCGCATTATCTCTGACATATCAGGCATATTGCTGCAGTCACTGTCAGTCCATCTAGTTGGGGGCCTTCCTCTCTTTCACTGACCTTTCACTCTTCCAAGCATGGTGTCGCTTTCTAAGGGCTTGATGACACATAACAGCAACATACAATATACAGGGAGCTGTGGTGATCCTGTGGGCAAGGAGTAGTGCGGCCATCCTAAAGGCAGGCAGTTTGAATCCACTAGCTGCTCTGTGAGAGAAAGATGGGCAATCTCTAAGGTGATTCACAGCCTCTGAAAGCCAACGGGAAGCTATGAGTCGCTTCAAACCCCTCGGCACACAGCAATAATATAGTCCCTCAACTCAACTCACTGCCATCAGTTTAGAGCTGACAGACTGCCTAAGTGGGCAGAGGCAATATGCTCTACCACTAACCAGAGGTCAGAGTCCACTCAATGGTGCCACAGAAGAAAGGCCTGGCAGTCTATTTTGGAAAACGTAGCCACTGAGAACCCTGGGAGCGCAGTTCTCTGACGGTCACATGCTTTGCCGGGAGTCAGAATCAACTCATGGCAGCAGCTAAGGTTGTAGTATGTCTGATGATGAGGCTGACAGGAACGTTATAATGACCTGTTTTCCATTTAGAAAAGCAGGAAATCATCCTCAAACACTTCTTAAATACCTCTGTTTATTTTGCGAGCTTTTGTTAGACTTTTTAATCATATAACAAGATAAAAAGACAATTGCTAGCCAGTTGTACCACATCATGAGGCAGTTAATCCCCATGGGCAGTTACCCAGCAGTGACAGCCCCGTGCAGCAGGTACAGCTGGCCCTGTCCAGCCCCACATTCCTAATCTGCACCTCTACCATACTCTTTATATTTTCCCCAAAATGAAAAGAAATTCTGGACATTTCAGGATTCTCCCTTTCCTGCAAATCTACCTTTTGTAGTAGTTGTAGACCATTGAGTCAAAAGCAACCCATAGCTCACCCTCCAGCAAGTTTTCAGAGGCAGTTTAATCACACAGGAGGAGATTGTGGATTTGAGCCACATGCCTTTGGGGTGGGAGGTAAAGCTTCTTACCACCAGGCCACCAGAGCTCCCTTAGCACCCCTTAGAGCAAGTCTAAGCTTAATCGGTGGCGGGAGCTTGGGATTTACTACCTTCTGTAGTAACATGAGAAAAATGAGAAGAAAGGAAACAGCAATTACAGTCTTCAAAGCATCCTTGTTATAGGACAGGTGGGGAAAGATGGGGTCTAACTTATCAGACCCATATAGACCAATGAAGTTCAGAGGCGAAAAAATTCAACTGCCAAGACCAGCACTAGGAGTCTTGTCTCCACTCACAAACTAATCCTCGATACTGACTCAGAACCACTGGATAAATTATCAGATGATCTAAATTTCTCATGTAGTAGCTATGCTGCAATCGCAAAGGCAAACAATATGACTCCACCAGCTGCTCTCTGGGAGAAGGATGGGCAATCTCCTCCCATGCAATTTACTGCTTCTGAAGACCCACTGGAGGGTCAGCTATGGGTTGGTTCCGTCTTAGTGGTACTCAACACCACCACCACCACCTAAGGCAGCATATGGCTACAAATTTCTTTGGTACATTTGGCAAAATATCTGGAAAAAGTCAACCTCTTAGTTTAGATGATGGAAGACACAGAGAACTGGCTTATTGGGTTTTCAGAGGCAATAATCGGCTGGGAAGAGATTGCCCATCCTTCTCCTGTTGAGCAGCCGGCAGATTCAAACCACGTGCTTTCAGGACTGCAGCACAGTTTCTTGCCACTAGGCCATCAGAGCTCTCTTAAGTGTAAGGGTATTTAAAACACACACACACACACACACACACACACACACACACACACACACACACACACACAAAACAAACAAAAAAAACCCAACAAATGCAACAGCAAAAAATCCCAATGCAAAACCAACCAGACCAGGATTCAAGAAGAGGATGAATTAGGAACTGAAAATGAAGGGATGAGGGTCAATTTCCCTGAACAGTTTTCCCAAGTCCATCCATGCAGAAAACCCTCAACTTTAGGAGACTCAAAAGACTTTTCTGTGTGGATTTTGCGGTGCTGACTGAGATAGGCACTTCTGCTGAAGCATTTCTCACAGTCAGCACATTTGTAAGGTTTTTCTCCTACATGGGTCCTCCGGTGTCGGATCAGGTTAAAGCTCTGACTGAAGCATTCACCACAGTCAGGACATTTGTAAGGTTTCTCCCCTGTGTGTGTCCTTTGGTGAATCACCAGGGTGGAGCTCTGACTAAACGTTTTCCAACACTCGGAGCATCTGTAAGGTTTCTCTCCGGTATGTGTCCTCTGGTGTCTGATAAGATGGGAACTAAGGCCAAAACTCTTTCCACACTCACATCTATATGGTTTCTCTTCTGGCTGGATTCTGCAATCCCCTGTCACAACACAGTTCTGACCCAAATCTTCTTCACATTCAGAACTTTCATAGGATTTCTCTCTTGGATGTGTTTTCTGGTGCGTAATGAGGTTTGAACTTTGACTGAAATGCTTTCCACATTCTGGGCACTGGTAGGGTTTTTCTCCTGTATGTATTCTTTGATGCTTTATTAGAGTTGAATTACAACCAAAGTTTTTTCCACACTCAAGACACTTGTAGGGCTTCTCACCTGTGTGTGTCCTCTGGTGGCGAATCAGGCTGGAACTCTGGCTAAAACTCTTCACGCAGTCAGAGCACCTGTAAGGTTTTTCTCCCGTGTGTGTCCTCCTATGTTCAATCAGAACATAGCTGTGGCTGAAACATTTCCCACACACAGGGCACTCATAGGGTTTTTCACCTGTATGTGATCTGTGATGCTGAATAAGGTGAGAGCTGCTACTGAAACGCTTCCCACACTCGGGGCATCTGTAGGGCTTCTCTCCTGTGTGGGTTCTCTCATGGATGATAAGGTGGGAGGTATTACTGAAGCTTTTCCCACACTCTCCACAGTGGTAGGGCTTCTCTCCAGTGTGTGTTCTCAGATGCTGGATCAGGTGAGAGCTGTTACTAAAGCATTTTTCACACTCAGAGCATTTATAAGGTTTTTCTCCCGAGTGGGTCCTCTGGTGAATACGCAAATGAGAACTATTATTGAAGCTTTTCCAACATTCTGGGCATTTGAAGGGCTTGTCTCCAGAAGGCAGACTGTGCTGGATGGAAACACTGATGTGTTTTCCCAGGTTCCATTCACAGTGACTGCATTTTTCTTCCTCTTTTCCTACAGAATTTTCCCACTTACCCTCTGACTTGTCATCCTTCTCACAGGAATCGTGATGCCAAACCTCACCTCCTTTAGAAAACGCCAACAGAGCCTCTTTTGTATCCTCATGCTTACAGTTTTGTGGGCCATCTCTTTTAGACCACTTTGAGGGTTTCTCTTTAAGCTTATTTGCCTTATTGTGTTGAACAGTTTCCAAATTATTCTTACTCCCATTTCCTGAAAGAATAAAGAAATATTCTAAACAGATTCCCTAATCTCTACCAGGGAAAAGGAAATTTTAAATTGCAGTGAAAGATAGGATATTTTTAATAAAAATGTATATGCTAATTTTACTCGCTTTATTCTACGTGCTCACGGGAAGCAGCTCACTTAAAACATTATTACTATGAAATGTGTGTACGTGTACAGCACAAGTGTATTTGAACAGGTGTCAGCAATTGCTTAAGGACTCATTAATCTAAGAATAAGTATATTAAATTTTATTCTCAAAAAAAGGAGATACAAGTAGTGGAGAAAACTGAGTAGGCTCCCATCTAAGGTTAAAATGAGAAAATATCTCAGTTAAAATCTTTGGAAATGTAGAAATAACACTAGCTACAATTTATACAGAACAATAGCTTGCATATCAGATTTCACAATCTTAAACACGTCAGATAAATATTTTTAATGATAAGAAGGGTGAGGCTGGAACAGTTAACATACATACCTTCTAACAGAGCAAAGAATCAAAGTTTGTCTCATTGTAATGTTTTTTTTCCCCCTATAACACCTCACATTTTACAAAGCCAATACAGAATTTTTTAAACGTTAGGATCATCTTCTCACTCCCTCACCTGTATAAGAGCTTTTTAAATTCTTGATTTTCTGGAAGCCATTACTGCCGTCTGGCACCAGCAATTCCTTCTCTTGGTCCATCACAAAGACCACAGCCAGGGTGGGGATCAGAAACCCTACGGAAAGAAACAAGTCATACTTGAAGACATTTACCAAAGTTTATGGCTTCTCTCTTCTTTCCATCTGTTGTAACATAGCAATTGTATGCATAGGATGTTCTATGCTCCACAGAAAAGAATTAGGGTCTTAAGTCTTTTTATAAAATTCTTATAGTAAATGTAAATGTTCAGAAGTAAGATTAACCCAGTTGACTTTTTCTAAGAAAATAACAATGCAAAATTACATTTTCACATTAAAAGTCCAAGAAGTACAATCCCTCCCCCCAAGTCCACTCTACTATGCAGCCTTCGTTCTGGACTCCTGTCATGACAATAATACCTAATCATATATCCCTTTTAAACAGTGACTTTTCAAAATGAAGGCTGCATAGTAGAGTGGACTTGGGAAGGGAGAGGGATTGTATAACAATGAAAGAATTTTACTTTTCTAAGAGCAAACTAGGCAGGGGAGGTTGGGCAGGGAAAAAAGTGCAACAATGAATGAATGGAAATCCAAAGTCTCTGTAAACTTTCATGAAAATAAATTAATTAAAAAAGTCCAAGAAATAAGCTTAAAACAAGAGACACTAGTATGTTATTTTAATTTTTTAAAATAACAATGCTTTTCAGAGAAGACTTATAAAAACTGCAAGAATCAATATGCATTTGCAGGATAAATATATGGTAAATGTAGATAGGAAAGAATAAGCATTGTCTAATTTCAAAAGAAAAGCTTTGTTGTTGACACAGGGGAAAAACCCTCTGAAGTAATTTTCATAGAAGAGTTAGAATTGATACAAGCATTAACAAGAAATTAGGGTAAAAAAAGGATAATAGTAATTATAACCAATAACCTGTAATTAAAAAGAGAGGTTAAAATGGGGCCTCTTTCTTTAAATCTAATAATCACAAAAAATGCATTTCAGCCTAATCTCTGGAATTAATCACAGTCCTTGACCTGCTTTATCCATTGCTACCAACGGATTGATATCAAATGCAACTGCGGTTTCTAAAGCTATAAACCTTTATGGAAGCTGACTGTCCTCACTTTCTCCCACAGTCACTGGTGGGTTTGAAATGTTCACCTTCTGGTTAGCAGCCCAGTGCTCGCCCACTTGCCACTATGGCTCCTTTAACTTATTAACCAGACCAATAAAACGTGATCTGCCCCTGGAAAGCAGCTGTATATTGACTTGGCATTCATTCGAGTGTCTACCTAATGGCAACACTTGGGGAAAATAAAAACCTAAAGGAAGGGACACCTATAAAAAGTTGGGTGTACTAGTAATTTCCACCCTATTGCGGTCTGTTACGCACCTAGCAGTGAATTAAAAGTGAACACATATTATGTCTCATTCCCCCCTTGCAACAGCTCTCAAGTGTAGGGTCAACACTTGCTCCAACGGAGTAATCGCTGTGCTTTGCTGCCTGGACTGCATTCTATCAAAGCACACGCCAAGGATGCACGCGGTTTGGGGAAATGTCCCTTATTTCCCCCCTCAGCTCGGGTGGAGAGGAGCCTGGATGGCTGAGCTCCGCACGTCACAGGTGGTTCCCATTAAAGGCTGTCGCTCCACAAAGCGGGGTGGCAGAGGCCCCGCACTCCCGGTGATGGAGCCCCGGGCTGGAGCTGGAGGACCCCGGGGACCACATGTGTCTCACAGTCCCTGGTGATGGTGCCCCGGGGACTACACGCGCCCCGCAGTCCCTGGTGATGGGGCCCTGGACGGGGGGTGGAGGACCCCGGGGACCACATGTGCCTCACAGTCCCCGGTGATGGGGTCCCGGACTGGGGGTGGAGGACCAGCGGTGAGGATGATGTCCGCGGGGACCACACGCACCCCACAATCCCTGGCGATGGGGCCCCGGGCTGGGGGTGGAGGACAGCGGGGAGGATGCGGTCCCCGGGGACCAGGCCCCCCCCACCCCGCAGCCCCCAGCCTCGCGAACCGGCACCGGGCGGACGCGGGGGGGGGGGGGCTTCCCGCCGAGATGGGGACGGACGTCCGGTCGCGGGGCGGGGCTGTCCCCCGGCCGCAGTCCCCGGACCCCCGAGAAGGAACTCACTGTCCTGGGGGCCGCACGTGAGGCGCCCTGCATCCTCCGCAGACCCCGCCGTCCAGCAGGCAGGGGCATCCCAGCGCCTCCGGCCCGCGGCAGCCTGTGGTCCTGAACCCCCCAACCCGGACGACTGAGACCGGAAGTTATCCCGACGGCTCCCCGCCCCCCATCCTCTCTAGGAAACAGTGATGGCGCACGCTCGTTGGTCTTAACCCCTTGGATCCCGGAGAAAAAGAAGGTTTCTCGTGTTGTCGGGGATTCCTAGGATACCAAGTTGTGGTTGTTGTTGTTGTTTTTAGGTGCTGTCGAGTCGAGTACGACTCAGACCGACCCTATGGACACCAGATCTAAACCCTTACCCATCTTCACCATCTCTGCCACACTCAAACCCATTCCTGCAATCACCCTGTCAACCTACCTGTTGAGGGCCTTTTTAATTTTTATTATTACTATTATTGATTTTAATGAAAATTTACAGAGACTTTGGATTTCCATTCATTCATGGTTGCGCTTTTCTCCCAGCCCATTTTGAGGGCCTTTCTTACGCCCACCATCCACCTTTCCAAGCATGCATCCTTCTCCAAGGAATAGCCTCTCCTAGCAACATGCCCAAAATAGATGAGAGGAAACTTCACCACATTTGCCTCCACCAAGAACTCTGGCAGCACCTTCTATAAGACATACCTGTTTGTTCTTTTGGCAGTCCGTGGGATATTCAGCAATCTTTTCCAGCACCACAACTCAAAGACATAGATTTTTCTTCTGTCACTCTTATTCATTGTCCAGCTCTCGGCAGCAAAGCTAGTGATTAGAAAGACCACTGATTAAGTCAGTCACACCTTAGTCCTCGAATTAACATCATTGCTCTGCAATAATTTGGAGAAGTCCTTGACTGCAGAGTTTCCCAGAGCTGTGTTAAAAATCTCATTGCTCACACCTTCTGATAGGGGTCTGATTGGAGCTTATCTGCTTTTTAGGGCACCATCACATTGATCATAGTCAGTGTTAGACTCAAAGCTCAGTATTTATTAAACATCTATTGTTTCTGTTCTCACTCTGTAAAAGAAGGTATTTATCAGAGCAAGAGAAGAAGACCCTCAACAAGACAGATTGGCACAGTGACTCTAACAGTGGGCACGAGTATATCAGAGATGATAAAAATGACTTACAGGATAGGACAGCTTCAGATCTGTTGTTCACAGGGTTACTACGAGTCATAGTCAACTTGAGAGGCCCTAACAACAAACAATTAACTGTGACACAGCTGATGAGCTGAGACTTCCTTTGGTATATGAAACAATCAGCTTACAAAGCCATGGTAATAGTTAGAGAAGCAATTAACATACATATATAAAAGTACACAACAACAACACATATACATACATACATACACACACATATACTAACATATATATCTCAGAAAAAAGAGAAGCCAAGCACTTTTTCTCCCAGAAAGTGAACGTGTGAATGTATATGTCCACTTAAGTCTGTACTCATGTAACATTTAACACTTTCTTCATTGATATGTTAGGAAATCATAAAGTTGCACAATTTGATGGGTGGATGAAAGGGGTAAAGGAAATCCAGTGGGGACCTGAAAAGACAAGGTGCTGATGAACATAAGGGGATTAATTTTATAATGCACAATGTATAGGAATATTGTATAAAACACAATGTGACTAAAGGAAGGTGTGAAACATAATGTATTCAGATTTTGTATGTAAACCAATATAAAATTAAAAAAATTGCTTAAAGCCCAACACTTTCTGCAGGAGGATTGAGCATTGGAAAATACCAGTGGTGTCAATGGCATGAGTATTGAGGTCGTTGGTGAAATGGGCTTAAGGGGAAGAAAGGAAATAGAAATACTATGGGTGGAAAAAAAAGTTTGGAGTTGGAAGTAAGTCTAGAGGTTCAACAAGAGAAAAAGGTAAATTGTTGTTAGGTGCTGTCAAGTATGACTCATAGTGTCCCTATGAACTACAGATCTGAATCCTGTTCTAATGTGTGACATCCTCACACTTCCTGACACACTGAGCCCACGGCACAGTCACCACGTCAATCCACCTGGTTGAGGGTCTTCTTCTCCTTCACCAACCCTCCACCTTTCTGAGTATCATGTCCCTTTCCAAGAAATGGGCCCTCCTAGCAACATGCCCAAAGTATGTGAGGCAAAGACTCATCATCCTTGCCACAAACAGCTGCACCCTCTCTAAGACATATTTGTTATTTTGGCAGTCCATGAGATGTTCAGCACTCTTCTCCAACACTACAACTCAAAGACATCAACTCTTCCTCTGTCATCCATATTCATTGTGTTGCTCTCAGATGTATAGTGAGTGATTGGAAAACCATGGCCTCACAATTTCTGCTAAGCTTTAAGACAATTGCTACAGTCACGAGGTCACTCCATCTTGTTGAGGGTCTTCCTCTCTTTTTCTTTGACCTTCCCCGTGGTCCGGTGCCTCCTTGCCTCCAAGGATCACCCTGATTGCATTTTCTTCAAGACAGATTTGTTGTTCCTTTGATGGTTCATCAAACTCAGAAATACCCCTCATTGCCATTCACTCAGAATCCACTCACTGCTGACCTTCCAGTGAGTTTTCAGAGCTTGTAAATCGTGAGAGAGAAGATTGCTCACCTTTCTCTTGTGGAGCCGCTGGTGGACTCAGACTGCATACTTTTGGGTGGGCAACAAAATATATTTAATTGTTAGCATCATATTTCAGAGGCATCAGTTCTTCCTTATTCATTGTCAAATCTTCAGATGTGCATGAAACAGTGAGAATTAACCCAGTTCAGGCTCAACTTTTGCTCTTTAGGATTCTTGCCCCAGCCTCTCCCAGTGCAATATGTCTTTTTTTTTCTTTTATTTTTTCAAGTATTATTCTCATTCATGTAGATTGTATATCACACATTCCTTCATTTCATATTGTGTTTCATACAACCATCCCCGCACATTGTATCATGTGTCTTTTGATTTCTTGGCCGCTACTTTCATGGGTGTTGCCGACAGATCCACGTAAAATGAGCCTTTCCCTAGTCAAAGCCTCTTTATTCTTCAGGTGTCAAGCCATGGATCGCTTCTTCCCAAAGGCTTTCCACGACCTTTCTAACAGAGTCCAGTCTCTACTATGTGCCCTCTTAGCACCATATCCTCTCTATCACTATCTATGTCATAGTTGCTTTGAGTGACAGCAATTTATTTATTTCTAAAAGTTAAAAGTCCCAATCATGTTCATGGCCATGTCAGTTCTTTATGAGGTTAAAGGTGTTGTGGGCCACACTCCAGGGAAACCGGACTAACACTGAATCAGGGGTGTGAACTGCTCCCCTTTATCAGAGCAGGTCTACAGCTGTGACCTACTCCTCATTATCTGGGCTGATGGTGTCATTAGAAAGGATGTATCATTCTAGAATGACCACACTGTGTCCTTCCCTTATCACCAAGCCACTGAGGATCCTGGGCCAGCCAAGATGACACACATTTGGGGAGGATATAGTTCCATGTATGACAATGTCCTAACGCCACAATATCCCAGTCAAGACGGAAAGCAAAAAAGGCTTTGTTTTTTACTTCTGTCATATATAAATGACACAGCCTTGCTTGCTGAAAGTGAAAACTTGAACAACTTACTAAAAAGATTAGAGAGTATAGCTTTCTTTCTTTTTCAAAAAATTTTATTATTTTGTGTGCGTGTACCGTCAAAACAGATCCGACTGGTACAGGAGGAGATTGTTCCTCCTTCTCCAGCAGAGCATCTGGTGGATATGGATTACATCTCAACATCAAGAAAAGAAAAATCTTGACCACTGAACCTCTGAGCAACAAAGATCTGGATCGATGAAGAAAAGACTGAAGTAGTCAACAATTTCCTTTTACTTTGGATCCACAATCAACACCCACCATGGGAGCAGTCAAGGAATAAGAGTTCTGTATTGGGAGGGTCTGCACAGCATCCAGTCATGGTATTTTCAATTGCTTCTTATGCATAAGGAAGACAAAAAAAAAAAAAAAGAACTGATGCCTTTGAATTGTGATGCTGCTTCTAAGGAGCATCCTTGTTCGCACAGACACTGACGGAGGAGACAAATCTGTGACCCATATGACAAACCTGTTTTGGAGGAAGTGCCTCTAGGATGCTCCTTACAGATGAAGATGGTGAAAGTTTGTCTCACATATTTTAGGCAGATTGTCAAGAGGTACCTGTCTTGGAAAAAGACATCTTACCGGAAAGGGTCAGCGAAAAAATGACAGACCTGCAAGGAAATGGATTGATTGGCTCTGTGACTGCAACAATGGACTTGGGCGGGACAGAGATCATGAAGATGGCCCAGGGTAGGGAATGAATGAGATCTATTATTTATAGAGCCAGCAGTTGACCTGTAGCTCCTGACACCTATAACAGACTTGGGTCACTTGTACACTGACTAGACCAATGTCTGTCAAAGGCTGAGAGAGATCATCAGCGAAGTCGTTATGTGTTGTCAAACTGACTATGTTTCATAACAACCTTATGATCAACATGCTGGACCCTTGCCCTGGCTTGTGCCATCCTCATGTTCTCTACTGAGGCCGATCATGATGTGGTCCTTGGAGCTGAGATTACTACTGACCAAACCGAATCAACACAAAGGAGACTGGTGCAACTGAACATAAAAAGTAGGAGATGTTTCTGGAAACAATGTCCAAAAACTCTCTGAAGGCTCTGGGCAGAGGTGTATCTCTTGAAAGTAGTATCCATGGCAGGAAATTTTAAATTGATGAAAGAGCTCTCTCTCTCAGTTGGTCTTAGAAATTGCTCCTTGGCGCCCTCACTCTCAAGTGGTGCCCAGGGCACATGCCACACCTGCTGTGTCCTAGCTACACCACTAGGCAGGTGACCAAGCAAATGCCTTCACACTTAACACAAATGTTTTCATCTTTAACCTCACTCATTTGGAGCCCAGAGAGCTTCCAAACCTAGACCACGACCTCCCTAGAATGTGACGCTAACTGGACTCCTCTTGAGCTGATTATTGTGTAGGAATTTTTTGCATATTAATTTTTTTAATTCTTGCTATAATGTCATCACCATGTGGAAAGGAGCCAGTAGACGGGCAACTGGAAGCGCACTTGCTGAATTCAGGTCTATAGGGGCCTCTCCTCTATCTCAGCAGATTCCAACCGTGTCCTCGGCTTCTCTTGCTTCAGTGATGGTGAGAGTGAACATTCTGTAACCTCTCCATCCTTACTACAAAGACAGAGGAAAAAGAACTGATGTCAGAAGAGACTGTGCAAATCGCATCTCCGATGGCCACCAATTCCTCAGTTACGCCGTTTAACCATCATTGCCACCTCTGTTACCCATACCTCACCACCACCACCAAAC